AAGAAATCCCCATTTTATAGCCAATTGAATTATACATAATCTATACTTGCCAACAGCCATGGTATTCCTGGATAGCTCCCATGTGGATGTCCACCTATTGGTTACTAGTTCCTAGAGGATCTAGATAGAACCACTCTTGCAACCTCCCTCCATGTTAACCTGACCATCTGCCATCAATCTCTTTGTCACTGCTCCATTCATATCACAGATTCAGATACATACAACTCTCTCAATACTTAGCTTTATACTGGATGTTTAAATGAAAGAATGATAGGGTTGAAGGAAGGCAAATTTATGCTTCACCTAAAAGCATTCAAACCAGAAGTTTGATTGATTATACTAGGTGGAACATTAATTTTCAGGGAAAAATGCACTGAGCTTCAAGCAGTTAATTTAAAAATGACTTTTAAAATTCAATCAGTTGATAAATTGGGAAATATTTGCTAGCGGGCAGTCATAATGGCTATTGTAATTTATTTTCAGGGATAAATTGGAGGTTAACATCTAAAGCTAGAGTTGTAAGGAACACTTCTTCTTCTAGCTTTGTGACTTTAGGCAAGGTACTTGCCCTCTCTTTGTCTCAGTTCCCTCGTTTGTAAAATGAGCATGATATTGGTAACTACAACACATGTGAGTTTTTAAAATCAAGGATGCTGCAAACCAAGAAACATCTAAAATAAAAATAACTTTGTTAGATTGAAAATAGTAAATATCAACAAACATATTTCCAATACACAGGAAAAAATTTTAATTTGTGTTATAAAGTAACATTGAATGAACAAGGGCAATATATGGTGAGCTGAAAAGAAAAAGAAAAGAAGTAATGTTAATCAGATTGACAATGAGGTGTTATAAATGGATCTAAAACACTGTAATAAAAATAGAAAGTGGCAATGAATTATTGAGCTATGAGGTTTTATAAATTAAAACCCTATAATTTTTCAGTTTTTCTGTGCTTATAGTATGTTCTCTGGGTAGTTGAAGATCCAGTAAAATTTTTATCCCTTCCCCCCAACAAACATAAACAAAAGCAAAGCAAAACAAAACAGACAGCACTCTTAGGCTTGCAATGGACGTATTTATTGTTATTTTGCTGCATTAGAGTTTGAGATATGTGTCTCAGCTACTAGATTTGAATTATTAGGTAAGAAGTTTGTTACATTAGGTAAGAAGTTTATTACATTGTGTTACACAACAGACAAATTTATCTAGTCTAAGTTTATATTTTTAACCTTTTGTTGAATATGTGTTTGTAGATGTCCTTACTTATGCTAGATGGTGTTTCCAAAGGTAGGGAAGGGAACATTTTATTTAGTCTCAGTTCTAGTGTTTATATGGATCTGTGACCAAATGAAAACAATTATTTCTAAAAAGTATTCACTATTTAAGATTCTTAAGTTGATTTAATTTTGATGAATATTTATTTTTCATCCTTTTTCTATCTTTTCTTTGAATATTCTTTTTGTTGTTTAAATGAACTGATGCTGGGATCATCACTGTAGCATTTGGGGACCACTAATGTAATAAGAAATTTAGCACTAGAACTGACACTAAAGTGTTCCCCTAGCACTGCTTCCCACGATGAGCCAGGGATATTGTGTTATAAATTGTACGTGACTTTTTATCATCCACATTTCCATGACAGTGTCAACCATGGAGGAGGTGCTCAGCAGGTATTTGTTGAATGACTGAATAGAAACTCAATAAGAGCCTTACAAATAAATACAATGCTCAAAATCCTAAGCTTGCTACAAAGTAGAATTTAAATGTGATGAAGTTTATGCTAGATATGGAAGATTTATTGGTTAAGTTCAGTAATGGATGGTCATTACTTTTAAGCTTGTTCAGTCAAGTGCCAGAATTTTTGAAAATTATCTGTTTTAAATGATGGTCGTAATTCCCCCAAATATTTAGAAAGAAGTGACCCAAGAAAATACAAGGATGTTTAGGCCAGACTTAAAAAGAAAAAGATTGGGGCCGGCTCCATGACCGTGTGGTTAAGTTCGCATGCTCCGCTTCTGTGGCCCAGTGTTTCACCAGTTCGGATCCTGGGCATGGACATGGCACTGCTCATCAGGCCATGCTGAGGTGGTATCCCACATGCCACAGATAGAAGGACCCATAAGTAAAATATGCAACTATGTACTTGGGGGATTTGGGGACAAAAAGCAGGGAAAAAAAAAGCACAAGATTGGCAACAGTTAGCTGAGGTGCCAATCTTTAAAAAAAATTTTTAAAAAAGGAAAAGAAAAAGATTTAAGGGGCTGGCCCCGTGGTCAAGTGGTTAAGTTCGCATACTCTGCTTTGGCAGCGCAGGGTTTCACTGGTTCGGATCCTGGACGCAGACCTAGCACCATTTATCAAGCCATGCTGAAGCGCCGTCCCACATAGCAGAACTAGAAGGATGCCCTACAGCTAGAATATACAGCTACGTACTGGGGGGTTTGGGAAGAAGAAGAAGGATGAAAAAGGAAGATTGGCAATAGATGTTAGCTCAGGGCCAATCTTTAAAAAAAACCAAAATGGTTTGGAACCAGTCATATTGTGAGGTTATTAATAGAGGCACTAATTTTCTCATATGTGATGTTTTTTTTAGCGTTTAACCCTAAACACTAAAAAATAGTTTAAAGTAAACATGTCCTTAGTTTTAATGTAGTAGCTGTTGGCTTTATCTCATAAGGTTGATAATTATGACAATTACTCAATTTTGTTATTCTTACCATTATTTATAAAAAGAACCTATTGAAATTAGTTGTAATTTAACATACAGTAAGTGCATAGAGTATGGTTTCCTCATTTTCAACTTACCCAAGTTAATAAGTATACTACACAGTGTAAAAAAGTTTATATTAATTTTGAGTATTTTATATACACGATGAAAACATCATGATGAGGGTTAATTTGGAGGTAATTTGTGCTGTATAGACAGTAGTTAGTATCAGTTACTTTGAGAACTTGTTTTTTTAGAATATATTTGTGTACTATTTCTCTACTAATTGGAATATGAAAATAATTTTGTTACCCTAAATTCTAACCTTCTTTATTGCTGCTTAGAATTATCAAATTATGAACTGTAAGTATTGTCAAATATCATATGTATTTAAAAATATCACAGTATTCAATACTGAGTCATTAAATGTAAAATATTTTATAAGAGAACAACCATAAATCAATATGACTTTTTGAATAATCACTTATAAAATTTTACTTAGTACAGTTGAATATTTAAATTTTATTGGGTGCTGTTTGTTAGGAACTAGGTCTAATCTTTTATGTTATTTGGTGTCGCTGATTTATTCTTTCACCTTTAGTAGTCACTTTATGACCTCAAGAGAGTCAATAATAATATTATGAGTATAATAAATGTTATGTTAATTGCTATTGCTACTAAAACACAAACGCTATAAATTCTAAGTGTTAAAAGATCGTAGAAGCTGGGGAAAATTTCTTTGGTATGTTTCTCTTGTTTTCATATGCTTTGAGTGTGCTATGTAAATAAAGTGATAAATGACTTTAACTTAACTTCCACATCAAGCCAATTACTACTCAAAAATCTTATGTCTAAATCATAATCATAAATCATATTGGATTACTATTCATTTCATGTCATTTGTTTCTTCACCTTCTTTTATAGAGATATTATGAAAGACACAATCAATGTGATTTATAGTCATGATGGTAAATATGATCGTAAAATTTCTTCAGTAGATGTGGCCTGGAAATCATGGAACTTCCTTGTTTCTTTTATGACCTGTGTCTTTTTTTCTTCCAGAAAAATTGTTGGATTTTTTTTCTCTGTCCCACTGTACTACAAAGGAAATTACTATCAAGTCCTTACTTGAAAACTATATACCAACTCCGACCACTTCGTAACATCTCTGCTGCCAAAACTCCAGTTCAGGCGGTCCTCGTCTTCCTGAGACCTCATCCGCAAAGGCTTCCTGCCTCTACTCTTACCTTTTTTATAGTCTGTTCCATAAACAGAAGCCAGATATATTTAAAGGATAAATTAGATCATATCCCTCCTCTGCTTGAAACTTTCCCATGGCTTCCTAGTAAACCTAGAGCAAAATCCAAATATCTTATCATGGCCTGCAGGGCTCATTGCCTATCATTTAACCTCTCCCTCCAGGCAACACAAACCTGCAACTCCTCTGTCCTCAGCCTCCAGCCATGTTCACGTTCTTTCTGTCCCTTGAACCTAATTCATCACCTTTGAACCTCTGTTCACTCTTCTTGGAATTCTTCCCTTAGGTCTCTGACTGCCTCTTTCTCATATTTTTGTCCCTATTCAAATGTCACCTTCTTAGAGAAGTCTCTCCTAAGCACTCTAAATGAAAAAGACCTCTCCTTCTTCCAAGTCATTCTCTATTTCTTCATCTAGTTTAATTTTCTTCCCAGGAATTACCACTGTCTGATATTGTATTGATTACACATTTATGTCTGTGTCCCTGTCTCTTTATTGCTGCATCTTTAGAATCTTCAGGCATATCTGGCACATGATTGGCATACAATAAACATTTGTTGAATGAAACGATCACTATTTTCAATAATGGACTATTTTCAACTCTATGACTCCAAGATCACCCTACCATTTCTGCTTATGCTTCGATGGTCCTTCTCTAGTCCTAAGACTCCAGCAAAAATAGTCTTATGCTATCTCCTGTTATTCATCTCTGCTTTGATTATTGTCTTAACTCTAGCAGTTCTCATTGTAGTTACATTATGACTGACTTCTAAAGATAAACTTAAATAGCCTCAGTTGTCTTTGATGACAATTTACTCTTCTGGAGCCCACAAGGAAATAAAAGGAAATTAAGATATTTTTCATGGTTTTAAAAGTTTTTTCTTGCAGTAAAACTTCTGATTCTTATGTGGTCTCAACCTCAAGATGCATCTCTTATTAAGGGTAAAATCTAGAAAGGGTATTAAAGTTAAACCATCTTTCTGAGTTTACACAGGTGATGACAGAAATATAATGTACTTTGTTTTTCTTTCAGATCTCCAACTAAAGACATGGATTCAGAAGAGAAGGAAATTGTGGTTTGGGTTTGCCAGGAAGAGAAGATTGTCTGTGGCTTAACTAAACGCACCACCTCTGCTGATGTCATCCAGGCTTTACTTGAGGAACATGAGACCGCATTTGGAGAGAAACGATTTCTTCTGGGGAAGCCCAGTGACTACTGCATCATAGAAAAGTGGAGAGGCTCAGAACGGGTCCTTCCTCCACTAACTAGAATCCTGAAGCTTTGGAAAGCATGGGGAGATGAGCAGCCCAACATGCAATTTGTTTTGGTCAAAGCAGATGCTTTTCTTCCAGTTCCCTTGTGGCGGACAGCTGAAGCCAAATTAGTGCAAAACACGGAAAAGCTATGGGAGCTCAGCCCAGCAAATTACATGAAGACATTACCACCAGAAAAGCAAAAGAGAATTGTCAGAAAAACTTTCCGGAAACTGGCTAAAATTAAGCAGGACACAGTTTCCCAGGATCGAGATAGTATGGAGACATTGGTTCATCTGATTATTTCCCAGGATCATACTATTCATCAGCAAGTCAAGAGAATGAAAGAGCTGGATCTGGAAATTGAAAAGTGTGAAGCGAAGTTCCACCTTGATCGGGTAGAAAATGATGGAGAAAATTATGTCCAGGATGCTTATTTAATGCCCAGTTTCAGTGAAGTTGAACAAAAGCTGGGCTTGCAGTATGATGAAAACCAGATCTTGGAGGACCTGGGTGCAAGTGATGGAATTGTACAGCTGGAAGAACGACTAACATATTACAGAATGCTCATTGACAAGCTCTCTGCTGAAATAGAGAAAGAGGTAAGAAGTGTTTGCACTGAGATAAATGAAGACGCAGAAGGGGCAGCTGCAAGTGAACTTGAAAGCCTTAATTTAGAAAGTGTTAAGTGTGATTTGGAGAAAAGCATGAAAGCAGGTTTGAAAATCCACTCTCACTTGAGTGGCATCCAGAAAGAGATTAAATACAGTGACTCATTGCTTCAGATGAAAGCAAAAGAATATGAACTCCTGGCCAAGGAATTCAGTTCACTTCATATGAACAACAAAGATGGATGCCAGCTAAAGGAAAACAGAGGGAAGGAATCTGAGGTCCCCAACAGCAGTGGGGAGGTTCGTCCCTTTACTCAAAGAGTATTTAATGTGTATACAAATGACACAGACTCGGACACTGGCATCAGCTCTAACCACAGTCAGGACTCAGAAACAACTGTAGCAGACATGGTGCTTTTGTCAACATAATTGGAATGGCTTCTTTCTAACCTACCTTAATGTTGTTCATGTTTGTTTAATTTAACAGGAAACTTTATTTTAAATATTACAGTCTGAAAAAAATGTAAATCATGTTAAAGGAATTAATAAAAACTAGAGAAATTTCTAAGTTTTTTTTGATTTAAGATTTCCAGTGTGACCTAATTATTACAAGTTCAAAGGGTGAACTGTTTATTAGGACTGCAGCACAAATTAGCTTGCAAGCGTATAACAGAGAAATAATTTGATGGGAATTAGAATCTCATAGTTTCGAGAAATGGTTTAGACAAACGTAAAACTCATTCTTAATATTAGACAGTCAATGTATTGAAACTATACACACAAACAAGTAAAATTAAAATGTGCTGTAATATATTTTTTCTACAATGTGTCATTGGAACTTTTAAATCAGTAAAGTACATGGCAGCTGCTATAATGTAAAGTATTAATTCAATTCTTGGTTATTCTGATTGGTATTTAGAATGTGCATCATCTCTCTTACTTCTTGAACCCTTCTACCTGTTTAGGCCTGGATGGCAGGAGGTGGGAAGTGCTGCTGTTGAGACATGTACAAATACCAGCAGTGGATCAGGTGCGGGTGTGGATGAGGAAGGGCCAAGTGCAACCGAGGACAGAAAGTTTTCTAAAGAAGCCTAAAATTATTAAGAGATATGTATGTGCTTTCTCTATCTGACAGTGCCCATCTTCTGATCAGACCAATGGGCTCTGCAGGTTCATTTTTTGAGTAAGGTATAGTATGGGTTACTGAGAAAATCACAGGATCATACTTCTGTTTGTTTACACCCTATCCACAAAAGTTGAAGGGATGAAACCTGGGGTCCTTTGTGTGAGTAAAATAGAGTTCTGTATGCCGTAAGTATTAGCATTTTGTCTTGGAACTTACAGAGAGGCACTCATGTGAACAAAACCCTTTTATTCTGCTACGTTATAATTCAGATTGTCTTAATAGTACATTATCTAAGGTGCAAACTGAAATAAGTACTAGCTCTACTCCCTACCCCACACTGGAGCATGATAGTAAATATCCAACAAACCGTATGGATTACTTAGATCCCACGTTAACTGATAATCATTACAGTGCCAGACTATGCTTGGTTTTACTTGGTTTTTACTTAAGAATTTCTTTCTTCCTCCCTCTCTGTCTTCTCCCCTTCCCTCCCTTGCTTGCATCTTGCCAGTGAACATGTGATATAATCACATTGAAGACAATTAATTTTATCATTTTATTGTACTGTTAAATGAATACTGCTGAAGTTTTATTTTTTCTTTACCTGACACCTTTCCTGTATGTCAGTGCACATGTAAGTAGAAATATTTTACTTAGTTTTAAGATGTGAATGTCAGTTAAGATTCCTAGTATTTCTTACTTCTTCTCTTTCATTCTTATGCTTACTGTAGTGCATGTTTTAACTGCGTTTCTATTTTTTTATTCCTCCATTTCCCAGACTTTCACCAATCTTTGGGAAGATATTTAGAATTTTCTTAGTATTTCACTTTTGGGAAGCATCTATGTTATTATTTCTTGCACCAAGATATTGCTGATGGCCTTATTTGAAGTTGGCTGGTAAGAAAAATAGGAATTTCCACTCCAGGGAAAGTGCAGTGATGAACAGTAAGTAATAAAACAAGCATGGGTTTAATTTTTAAAAACTAAGAAGGAATTATATACTCATCTGAGAAAGGGAAGTTTAAATGCTTAATATTCCATTAAATCATTCAGCAAAATGGTAAGCTATTGACGTGTTCTTTGTTCATACTGGGGATTAAATTCAGAACATCATCATCAATGATAAACCAATTGTAATGTTTTCCTGAAGTGAAAGTAATCTCTTTAGATTACTCTTTAGTGAGAAAATAACGAAAAGAACATAACTGCTATATAATTTGATTAATTATCTGAATTCAAAAGAGGTTCTGATAAGAAATAGGACAGGACAGATAATTTCATTTTAGAAACTTTGAATTAACTCCTGCTTTTATACAGTAAAGCACAGTGATGCATTCTAAGGGCCAATTCTTCTATATTTTAACAGTAAATAATGTTAATAACTTATCAGAAAGCAGGACCATTGATTTTTAAGTTCACTTTAGAATTTCTATTTGTTCTTTAGTTATATAAAATGCATTTGTGCTTTCGATTCATTACCATCTTAAATCATCAGTTACCATGGTGAACCTCTAGTTTAGAATAATACATTAATACAAATAACAATAGTAAAATACAGTGCCCTCATCTCTCGATACCGAGCTATTCTTTATTAAATTAAGTGGGAATTCAAATTATAAATACAGAAATTGATAGAAGCTTTGATGTTTATTATCTTTAGAACCTTTACAATAGTGTGTGTAAATTCTTGAGTAACCTAACAGGTCAGCTGTGAAATTGCTGTATGCAGCTAGAATAGCAAACCAAATAGCTGACTGCTCTTCCTCCTCTAACAAGACTTCGATTTTCACAAACTGTGCCTTGTTCATCCTCCCTCTTGGAATGTCTCTTTTCCCTCCATCTGCCTTACACCGAAATCCTACCCATTTTCACTCTTTCTAATGTGTTATCTCTTCTATGAAACATTGATTGTTCCATTCAACCAGTTGTAATAGCTTGTCTCTGAATCCACAAATATTTTAGGTGTACTTTTCATAGGGGAGCATTTATATTCTGGCTTAGCTTATTTTTATTTATGTACTTATCTAACTTCATCCCTCCAATGTATATTTGATTGTCTTATTAATTTGTCATCTGTCTTGTTAACCTTACTCCCTCTAATCAATCTTGTCCTTACTCAATTTTTAAATTGAATTGCTAAATTTTAAAAGATTGTAAACTTTTAAAAAATATATTTCTGTACATGGTAAATGATGCTTGTGTATTTTATACATACATGTGCATTTTAGCAGACTTAAAACATTAACAGTAATTCTACTTATAAATTCTTTGGGGAAGCACTAAATCTGTGTTATGATGAAGAATTTTTAATGTATCAATTTTTTATTTTATTTTTATTTCACAGAGTTACTGATTTAAAGCAATGCAAATGTTGTCTTTTGAAAAGCAATTCAATAGTTAAATTATGGTGTTTTCCTCTGCATTGTATGCTTGTAAGAAAAACATATTTTATAGAGTTGGGTTTTAAGTGGTAGACACACAAGATAACTTTGGAATATTCTAAAGGAAATATCTATTTTATTTTCTCTGTTTTAATTCAAAAAAATAAGTAAATGGCTCTTCATTAGTGTGTAGAAGCTATTCTAATCCATTAAAATTTTATTTTTATATTTATTTAAATATCTACTTTATATGACAAAATATGTTTCTGTGGCTGCATTTTATAATTTTTCAAAGTAGGATTATTGTTTTATTTAAAATGTATTTTTCTAGTGAGAAAAGGAGTACCTTTAAATTCAGATATAGATTTTTTAAAAATATTAGCCTATTTCTTTTTATGCTACCTGATTGGTTTAATAAACCTGATGTGAGAAACGTAAAGTATATATAACTTGTTCAAGTGTAACTGGAGTCTGAACAATAAAAGGAGTAGTTGTACCCTTTCATATGATATTATTTGTCTTTCTGGGTGTGTTGCTTGACTATATTAAAAATAAATTTTATATCAGTTGAAATTAATTCACACAATTTAAGATCAGGTATTATTTCATGATACTATAAATATATAGCAAATAAAATCTAACAAAACTTTTTATTGTGTTTCATAAATATTTCTTTCAATTTGTCGTGAATGTCCTAACTTTTCAATAATTAAAGGAGTGAATAGTAGCTCATTTATTCTTCATCCCATCTCTTTTTTTTGTTTGCTAAGGAAGATTTGCCCACAGCTAACATCTGTAGCCAATCTTCCCCTTTTTGTTTAAGGAAGATTTACCCTGAGCTGATATCTTTGCCGATCTCCCTCTATTTTTTATGTGGGTCGCCACCACAGTGTGGCTGCTGACGAGTGGTATAGGTCTGTACCTGGGAACTGGGCCTGGGCCACCAAAGTGGAGTTCAAGTGTAACTGATTCAGAATATGCCAAATTTAACACAAGGCCAAGGAGCCAGCCCCAGAATGTCCTCACTTTTATACTGGATGGCTGGTTTTATGGCCTAGTATCTTGCTTTCTAGAATGAAGTTCATTTTACTGTAAAAATATCCAACTGTAAATCTTCCTTGCTATTATCCAGTTCTCACTACCCTTATTTTCTCAAAATAAGCCTTTAACTTTTACTGTCTTTATTAACTAAATCATTTGAAAAGTAAGGAAATTCATTTGCTTGTTCTATAAATGACAAAATGACTCTATTAGACAATTGTGCATTCTGTCCAGTAACAACACATAGAAATGTTAACACTATTTTCTTAGCCATATGTACATATATACCTGTATATACCTAGGTTATATCTGAAACAACTCATAAATGACACCTAACAGTGGATATTTCTGAGGAGGATCTCTGGATAGTTAGGCCATAGGGTAGAAGGGAGACTTACTTTTTGTGGTGCACATGTTTTGAATAATTTGAGTTATAGTAACAGTAATAATTTGAACATCATGTGTCTTTTTTACTCAACGTTCACATCACAATGTATATGTAATGTATATATGGCCCTGTATTATTCATATAGAGATTCATTATTCTGTTTGATGGCAGCAGGTAGTTCCACTGTGTCAGTTACCATAATTTTTTTCACCAGTCTGCTCCCAATGGTCTTTTGGTGCTTTCCAATCATTTATTACAATAAACAACATTACCCTCTCAATGTACTTCTATGAGGCTGCATTGACAGATGTAGAAATGCTATGTCAAATGATGACAAATGGATTTTCAAATTTTAATACACATTGCTAATCATTCTTTATGGAAATTAACCTTTTACAACCTGAGTTAGAAATATACTCCCTCCTCCCACAGTGTATGCTGTTTGTCTTTTTAATTTGTTTATTTTAATGTAAAAAATTTTTAAAAATTTCTTTGAATTTAAATTTATGTATTTCTCTCATTAATAACTCATGAGGGATTTTTTTTGTCATTTTTAAAAAGGTCCTCCCTCTACATGCTAACTAATTTTAAAAGTAAAATTCTCTCATGCCTTGTTTATACTGCATTTGTTTTATGTTTTACTTTTAAACATTTGAACTATCTGGAATTCATTTTGTTACAATGTTCAAAAGTAGGGAGACAATATTTTTTTTTTTGATAGTTACCAGTTACTTACCAATATCACTTACCAAATAATTTTGTCCCACTATTTTTAAATGACACCTTTTTTTGTGAACCAAACTCTGGTATGTATTTGGAATCTATTTCTGGACTTTCTATGCCATTCTGTTGATTTGGCAGTTCATTTTACCCCTGAGAACTCTTTCTCTGACCAAAAATATTAAGATCAAAGAAATCTGAATGTGAAGAAGTCAAATATTTCTACTCATTTGTGTAGGACAGAGACTATAAAGTATAGCTAGTAATATTTGTGGTTACCATGACCATAAGATAGAAAAAAATAGGATGTCTAATAATACTGGATTGTTGGCCAAATTAGTACATTATAAGGCTACAAAACTAATGCTGATATTACAAAAATGCTTAACCTGCATTGTTTCTCAACAGTAGCTCTACTGGCATTTGGGCCGCAGAATTTTGGTTTGCCAGACCTTCTTATTAATTGCAGAACTTTTAACACCCCTGGATCCCTCCCACTAAATGTCAGTAGTGTTCCTCAACGTTGGGACTAACATAAATGCCCTTCCCAGCCCCCTCTCCCTGTCTCTCGTATTTCTAAGCATCCCCCAGAGGCCAATATTGTCTTTGGTTGCAAACAATGTAGTAATATTGGAGTTCAATTATTATTAAAAGAAAATGGCATTTATCTTTTAAAAATAAAATTAACAGAAGAAGCAATGATATAGGTGTGTTATATTGACTACAAATGCACAGAACATTCCACTAAAAACAAAGGAGGTAAACATAAGGGTGGGGCACAATTTAGGATTATTTTTTATAATGGTTGACACCATCTCCTTTTACCAGGAATTTAGCCAGCGCAACCTGATTTCAAGGATTATACAGCTTTACTATTGTGCTCCCAGAGGTACTGGTGCTTCAGGAAGTGCTAATCAAATCATCAATTGTTGAAATTGCTATCTCATCACAAGTATTCTGTAATTTCTGCTACGATGAAATTAAAGTTCAAAAAAATATCAGTCGAGGAAAGCATATTCCCCTTGAGTTTTGTTCCATTCTTATCTATAAAGATGGTTAATAATAGGCTAAAACACTAATTCTTCTTCTGAGGAAAGAAAATGTTGTTTATGAAAGTTACTGCTTGTGATTCCAGACGATGGCCAGACAGAAAAGCAAAAAGAGAGAGAGGGAGAGATTAAAGACCTGGCTGTAGCAGTTCCCAAGTACATCCTTAATGACTGTGATTTGTATTGGGGTTCCAAGTATTTTGTTCTTATGCTGCTTGACATTGTTAGAATTTGTGCTGGTACCATGTACTGGTCCCACCATCAGATTACTGAAGAACTTCCCGGTTTGAAAATAAAGTAAATGAAATGACCTTACCTCGTGGGCACCTAGATTTACTTATGGAGATTTTTATAATTCATTGGAAAGTAATTTGGAAATATTGCTATCTATCACCAACCCTCGATTATTCACACCTTTCAATCAGCACTCCTATTATTCATAATAAACTACAAGAAAGTATTCCAAAATTTGTAAAAACACATATGCATTTAGCTATCCATCCTAACTTTATGTATAATAGCTAATTAAAACACCAATAACGGAGGAATTGTTAGTTAAGTTCTGAGGTATTATTTGGGTACGAAATTTGTAAATACTGATGCCTGTAAGACCACGCCATAGTGAAATCTAGTTTAAAAGAAAGGAATTAGAAAATGTATATAGACCGACTATGTTTAAAAAGACCCATGCATACCAAAAAGCAAATTCATATGAAAATGGAAATGCATAATTTTTTGCTAAGAGTTTTTGTATTAAAGTGATAATTTGGGGCGTGATATGTTTCTTTTCACCATAAATACATTTAAAATGTAGACTATTTTCAGTGTAAACACATTAGCAATGTTTCCTGTGTCTGACATCCCTCTGACCCTCCTACATGTTTGCAGAAGCTCTTTAGGCTTTCCGTGCACACCAAACAGCTAGAGGGTGATGACTAATGACAAGACCTACTAACTGGGAGCTGGAAGCCTGAATGCTGAATGCTGTAAGCAAACCATTTGAATCCCAGGATGTCAGATTCCTAACTATAAAATAGTTTTTTAAAAAAGAAAAATTTTAAAAATTAGATAATCTTTATAGTCCTTGGTTTGGTTAAATTCTGCAAGGTAACTCGTTCAGTGGATTTGGTATAAGCCTACCAAATATTAGATATTTGCTTATAGTTCTTGGCTCTATTCTGTTTATTTTACCTCTGGAAGAGCCTGTACAGCGTTAAAGTAGCCCACTAACTGACAAAGAGGGAGTTAAAACTCAACACTCTGCCTTTCCCAACATTTTCACTCTTATCTCATTTCTTTCCAAATGAGTTAGGGTGGGCCTTGGTAGACAAAAGAGTCATGGTTATGTTAGCTAAACAATATATGGTCAGGAAAAAAGAGCATCATTTGTGTTTCCAGAACAGAAAACTATGCTGGAAATAGAGGTAGAGAGGAAAGTAACCTGTATTATTTATTTTTATATTGCTCTGGTGTCTAACAGAGATTAGTGCCTAGTATTTGCCAAAATATGTTAATAAAATTAGATGTGTAACTAAAGGGCCAGCACAGTGCCTGGAACATGAGAGTTGTTCTGTAAATGTTAACTACTATTATTGTAAGTAACAACAGAAAAGTGAAATTTCTATCCTTGAGTAAAATATGCTTACATACTATATTCAAAATAAACTACCTCTTTCCCTTCCTGTAAATGAATTCTTTCCTCATTATAATTTAACTATCTTGGAAAGTATATATCATAACTGCCCATCACTCAGCAGAAATACACCAGCGCTCACATAGATACACGTTCAAGATAAGGTTTTTCCATTCCAAATCCTGTTTTTAAAGTTTTTTCTTTCCTCTCTAAGAAGCATTTGTTATACCCTAGACAAGAGCATAGAAAAAAAGTTTTCTACCTTTTCAGAACTGAAACTAAGATTTTAAAATGCTTGTTAGCATTACCTTTGTGTACGTGAAATTTTCTTGAGTCACTCTCCTCTAGTAAGTGCAAGTGTTTGACATAGGTGTTTTTCCGCTTTTCAATTGTAGATCATTAACCAAAAAACTAAATTACCTTAAAGAGAAAAAGCCCAAAGATGACTAGGAAGGATGCTTTTTCAGCAGCCACCCACACCACCCACTCCTGAGGTCATCTTCCAATAAAATGCCCAAATGTCAAATACTGAGGGGAACAGCAGTTGCGCTGGGGATGGGGAGTGGTGATGCTAACTGGGATTTAGAATTCAAAAGTAGGACCAACTAGGGAAGAAAATGTCCTGGGTTGGAGATTTAACTTTTAGACCATTCTGCACCGTGACTCTGTAGTAGTTCC